TTTTTTTACTTCTTCCTCTCTCTCATAATATATAATATATATTATAATATATTATATATATAATAGGTATTATAATATAACATAATATAACATAATATACATATATATTATATATAATATATATTATATATTATATAATTTTTATAATAAAACAGAAGTGTGTGTAAATTTATCCCAATCATATTTTCCCCTTAAAATCATCAACAATCACTTATCTCACTCATCATCTTTTTGTCAGACTCAAATGTCAAAAAGGACATTTGAAATAGAGTGCCTTCTATTTTGCGTGGAAGAAGCTTAGGCATTAAATGCTCGTGCTCTCGAGCACTTAATGCTTTTCCTTTGAGACTCTTTGAGCAGTAAATATATTACATCCTTCTGAGAGATAATTTAATGCCTCATTGTGATGGCCGTGCGCAAGTAAGGGCATCTTTGTCCATTGGGCCCTCATTCTTTGTTCTGTGCCTTGTGTATCATTGTCATTGGTTATTGGTCTGTCATTTTTGTCATTCTGCCTACTCATGCCTTAGGGTTTTGGAGCCGAGGTAACGTGTCTGAAAATAGATCTCAAGGGCGTTAGGCATGCCGAGGCCACATGTCGAGTGGAGATTTCCTTGAGGACCTTGGGAGTCGAGAACACGTGTCACGCAATGAAGATTGAGGTATTTTTGGGGTTGAGGACACGTGTCACTTGTAGACAGAGTTGTGGACCTTTGCACTTAGAACATGTATCACTCGTCAGGGGCGAAGCCACCCTTGGACTAGGGTGGGCACGTGCCCCCCTCAAGTTTTTTTTTTTGACATTAGATATATATTTTTTAAAATAAAATTTAAATATATTTAATTGTGTTCACCCTGAATTTTTTTTACAATAAATATATATTTTTTAAAATAAAATTTAGACATATTTAATTGTGTCTACCTTATTATTGTGTTATTGTGATATCAATTAAGATAGACGGTTACTTAAATAATAATTAATTTTTAAATAATATTATTAGAACTAATACATTATGATATTAAATCTAATAGTGAGTCCCTACATTTAATAACGTCTATTATTCATCCAATGGTCACAAACTATTGAGTTTCCACCAACTAAATTTTGAATTTTTTTTTGGTCAAGATATACAATTAAATTTCAAATTAGATGCAATTACTATTATTCTTAATTTTTTGGACACAGACATGTCCGAATAACTTTTAGACATATCACGTTCATTTTTTTTAAATTACAGGATTATTTAATTATTGTGTAAAAATAAACGTCATAATGTAACAAATTACAGGATAATAAATGAAAAACTGTTATTACTATTTTATATATAGAAAAAAAATATTTATTGATATAATTGATTTGTAATTCTTTTAAATGATAAACAATAATTAGATTTAATTATAAAATAATAACAATTAGTCTCATACGAAGTTTTAATTAATTTACTTTTATTTATTCTTTGTTTATTCCATACAAATCATTTTTTAACATTTATGTTTAATGAATTTTTACGCATAATTATAGTAAATATAAATTTATGAACTTCTATGGTCAATTGAAAAAAAAAATAAAAAATACTATTTAGATTTAATTTGATGACATAATTCAATGCACTCTTTTGATTGAAAGTAGAATTCATCTAACATTGAAATTTATAATTAAAATAACAGTTAATTGAATTAAGTCATGGGTAATATTGATAAAAAAATAATTAAAATTTATTAATGTGTCCACTTTAAAATATTTTTCTGACTCCGAGCCGGTCACTCGTAAACAGAGCCAAGGACTCTCGTGCCGTGGGCCCGTGTCAATGCAAAAAAAAAAAAGAGTTACACGGTAGTGAACGAAAAAATATAAATGGAAGGTATGAGCCTTAATTAAGGATGATGTCATGTTGAACTTGTGTTGGGAAGAAAAGCAAAAGCTTCTTAAAAGCAAAGACACATTCGAGGGCAATATATGAGCATTGCCAATTGCCAAATTTATTACAAATGAACGTCTGAATCTATGTAACCAATACATAGAGAAAAAGACCACCAAAAACGTCTCAGTTTCTTTTATTTATTTATTTTTATAAAAAACCTGGCCCGAAAACCAACGAAAAAGAGTTTCATGAGGATAAGCCAATTCTATTAAACTTCAAAATAATGGATTTTATGAGAATTAAAATAGCAAAGTTGGATTGGAAAATTTGAACCCCGGCCCCAAAAGTCTTTTGCATTAGGCGAAAATTTTGGAATGTTAGGTGATTAGAAATGACACGTTTTGATCAACCAAGCTCGTCAATTACATAGAGAAAACTTGGTTGGTGTCTTTGGCTGGGGGGGGGGGGGA